TAATATATATATATATATATATATATATATATTAGGGTGGTCCTTAAAATGGTCATTTTCGAATTTCCTTGCTCCCAGGGGCTCAAATGGTTCCAAATAGATAAAAAACAATTCTCTGAAAGTTTTAGCTCTTAATATTAACGTTAGATAGAGCGCAATTCAATCAAAGTTTGTATGGAAAGAGCATGGCAAAATTTTTGAAAATTAAAAAAAATGTTTTAGGTTTAACTTAACGACAAATGAATGAGTTTTATTCATTCATTTGTTCACTAAATTACATCTAAAAAACATTTTTAAAATTTTTGAAATTTTTTCATGCTATCTCCATACAAAACTTTGATTGAATTGCGCTCTATCTAAACGTTAATATTAAGAGCTAAAACTTTCAGAGAATTGTTTTTTATCTATTTGGAACCATTTGAGCCCCTGGGAGCAAGGAAATTCGAAAATGACCATTTTAAGGTCCACCCTAATATATATATATATATATATATATATATATATATATATATTATATTATATTGTATATAATAGTGAAAAAAGATCCTTCTATTTTTAATTCGCCTATGCATATTTATTAAATAATATGAACTTTAAAATGGCAAATTACAAAACAGCTAACTACAATTATCCGAAATCTGAAATGTGAACTGACAATCATAATATTATAGTTAGATACAAGACACGTTGATAGCTCTTCAAAATTAAATTATATACAAAAGGATATTTATTTTGTTTTTGTCTAATATAAAAGCGTTCTCAAGCGGGTTATATAGTTTATTTAGATTATAAACTATCTTGGGTTTCGTGTTATGGTTTATAATTATGTTATCCATAAATTGTTGATGTGAACGCTGGACTCATAGATAATAAAACTTCAAAATTCCATATAAAATAAACAAAAGAAGTAACAAGTTTGAGATATTGTATTTATAAATAGGCATAGGTAATACGAATAAATGATCATTTTTGTTATTGCAACTTATTGACGCAAGAATTAATATGCAATCACTTTTTCTTGCTATTAATAGAAAACCTTTAGGATATAGATTTAAAAAATATATGCATAGCTCTTAATTTAGTTATTTATTGGTTTTAATTTAGAACTTTCGAGAAGGTCAAACTGAAATTTTGCTTTGCTCTGAAATTATTCCGGCGGCGGTGTATCCAGTTGTGTGAATATTTAGACTCGAGATTCCTGATTTAGTAACAATGATTTGGTATAAAAATCACAAGGGTCAAAGATTTAAAGAATTATTTAAAAAAATGATAATGTTATGATAAGAGTCATGTACTAACAGAGCAGAATTTCGTTTATTAACGCAAAAGGGGTTTAAAAAGTTGAATACAGATTCAGCAAATTTTCTGAGGTCACCATTCTTTTCGTTGTGTAAAATAATAGGATTTTTGGTATTGAAAGTATGATTTAAACTAATGGCATGTTCGGAAAACATTGTCTGAAAGATGAATACAGATTCAGCAAATTTTCTGAGGTCACCATTCTTTTCGTTGTGTAAAATAATAGGATTTTTGGTATTGAAAGTATGATTTAAACTAATGGCTTGTTCAGAAAACATTGTCTTATACTGATTTGGATTTTTAGAATTACAAATGTGTTTCATTCTCTGTCATTCTCTTGTAGATATATTGCGAAGTTTCGCCAATATATTAAATATATAATGAAAAGTATGGAAGCCTCTGAAAATATTTCTATTTATTCGTTTTCTTCTATTCTGACGATTGGCTGAAAATCAATATTCAAGATATGTCTCAACGTCAAACAAAAAATCTAATTATATATATATATATATATATATATATACTAGCAACCCGACGAACTCCGTTTCGCCACCAGATGGTTTCGTGAGAAAGATGAAGAAATTTACAACAGTAATGAATTTATTTCTATTACAAAAATGAAGTGTTTTTTAGTTGAACTTCTCTAAGTAAATGAAAGTGAATCCGCAAATTATCCGTTTCATTGTAGTGCTCTTTGGTAAACCACATTTTTTGTTTTTTGGTCTGACGTTAACACAAACAAAGCGGATGGTTTTCCAACTCGTGAACAGACAACGTATAACTGCCCATGTGAAAAACAATGATTTTCTAAATAATCTATTTGAAATTTATCCCGCAAACACTAAGCGATTGGCCTTGAGACTTGTTATTGCGAACTGGAAATTGCAATCGTTTGAAGTCAAACGGAAGACCAGTCGGAATCATTGGTATGTCACGAAATCGCCAGCAATTTTTGATTGAATGGTGAAATTCAGTGCGTGTATACATCATTATTCTTTGCGTCAAGAATTGCTCGTTGACTTAACCAAGCATAATTCTGATAATTCTCACTAATGTCATTACTCGAAGTTTTAATTACGGTGCGTGAAGTTCCAGTAGCTTGCATTAAGGCACGTTGCCATGCACAACTAATTTTCTTAGCTATAAACCTTGCGGAGCCCGAGACCTTTCCAACGAATGCAAAATTGTCGAAATGGGTTCGTGCGTTCTGGAGTTATTTCGTCAGGAAGGAAAACCCGACTTATTTTTATATATATAGAAGATTAAAGAAGAGTCAAATTGGGACTCAAAACTTTTTAATCTATTAAATTTATTTTAAGAAACATATTTTAGTTTTCATTCTATTTTATTATCTGAATGGATGTCTGTTAAGAAGTATTTTGTTTAATCAACATATTTATCACCATCTGAAAAATTATATATGTGTGTATGCTGCTCGTACGTCAGAATTAAAGCGAATGATTAGTAGGTTCGCAAGAAGTGAATGTAATATCGTAGTGAGTAACTAGCGCAGATCAAGAAATAAGCCACTTACGACTTTATCAAAGACAGGCGAGTTGTCGTTGATGTCTTCTATGTTGATGCGAATGACACACACGTCATCCAGGGGCGGCTTTCCGTTGTCGGTTGCGCGAACTGTCACATAAATCTCCTTCTCGCGGGCAGGCTCGTCTCGGTCGAATGACTGAAAAAAAAAGAGTTTGAATTAATAAAGAAATATAAAGATCTGGTATAATCAATCAATCTTTTACAAATACTTCATCAGGAATAAAATTATTACATACGATTCTAATTTAGAATTTCTAAAGCGAAAAGTAAACTACTTTGAACCCATTTTGCGTAGTGTCATCTAAGCTTAAATTAGGTACGAACCTCGGAATTCGAGATACCCAGCTGTAAGTCTGTAAATACTTGTATATTGACACCCTAAAGTTGTCTCAAAACCTACATATGGTAGGGTATAAATACCATATGTAGTTTTTGAGACAACTTCAGTGTGTCAATGTACAGATTTACAGCTAGGTATCTCGAATTCCGAGGTGACCTTACTATAATACTTTGAACCCATTTTGCGTAGTATCATCTAAGCCTAAATTAGGTACGAATCTCGGAATTCGAGATACCTAGCTGTAAATCTGTAAATACTTGTATATTGACACCCTAAAGTTGTCTCAAAACCTACAAATGGTAGGGTGCCAATACCATATGTAGTTTTTGAGCCAACTTCAGTGTGTCAATATACAGTATTTACATATTTACAGCTGGGTATCTCGAATTCCGAGGTGAATTTACTATAATGACTGGTTTTCTATGTAAGTAGTGCAAATAATACAAAATGATAAGATCTTAAATAAGCACAGTGTAAACTACGAAAATTTATTGTTATAAAATGTAAATGATAAGCATAATATAGCAAGGAGTTGTTTTGTTTTAAGGGTAATCTAGTCTATCAGAAGAAGCATGAATTTGATGCAATTTTTGAAAAATTTAAAAAAAGTTAAACAACTCTATATTTTGTTTGCAAATTATTGAATTGAATTATGTTTTAAGAACATAAAAAAATAAAAATTAAAAATAGTTTAAATTCTAGTTTAATAGAAATGAAGTTTTGATTCTAGAAGGTGATGAAATGGGGGCTCCCAGAAAATTGGCATCTGTACATACTAGAGATGGGTAACTCACTCCGGAGTTATCACTTCGATACAACTCCTCTCTCGGAGTGAATTCGAGTGGAGTTGTCTCACAGACTTTGTCATATCCGACTTCCCTAAATTGGTACTAAATCTGTTAACATGTGCAGATATTTGCTTGAGAATTTTTACTAATCCAAAGCTTTGGGTCGAAGGAAGTGGTCCTTTTCTCGTCTAACTGCCAGTTTTAGGACTTTCCAGGTATATAATGTCTCAAAATAATGATAATTTGTATTCTATATTCTATAAACGATATATTCTGTATACGATAATGTTTGCCCGTAAATGAGCTCTTTCAATGGTATACAACCAGTTAAAAAATATTTAGTACTATAACTTTTACACAATTATAATTTTATAATTGTGTAAAAGTAATAGTATGCTAATCAAACTAACTGATGTATAATTAATTCTCGAAAGGAAAATAATAAAAGAATGTGAGGTATTATTATTTTGTGAAAAATATTATACACAAAGATTTGTTCTTATTTCACATATAAGATTCACTGCATTATTTTCATATAAAAATAAACATATTCAAAGAGTTCTATATTTTCCCTTCAAAAATAATTACAAAATTGATTTTGATTTCCAAGTTTTTTGTCAATTTGAGATTTGTATGCATATTGAAATGTATAAAATAGTAATTATGATAAAAAATTAACAAAAATGTTTGAACTATTTGTAAACTATTTCCAAATTCTTAATAAATCCTTAGATATGTTAACAACACACTAGAGAACACATTTGCGTCAAGTATTATGTTTCAAAGTTGTCGGAGTTGTGAAGTTGTTAAGTGGATATAACTCCTCTCAGAAGCGGAGTCAAATCCAAACCGCTCCGGCTTTGGATATGATAAGCCCATCTCTAGTACATACCCACGATTTTGGCCCTCCAAATAAGGAAAAAATTTATGTATATAAAGTAATAATGTCGAACTACGGACTGAGTTAAAATACTTTTTCCACAAAATATCGACTTTCTAAAATAAAAATATTTTTTTCACATTTTTTTCTTATATTCTCGAATTTTTTAACAATAGTAAAAATCGGATTTTGGGTATGAGCGTAGTTCATACTGAAGAGAAGTCGATAAAGAAAATTCAAGTAAATTTGTAAAAATTTAGGAATCTGGGTATCGTATAGAAATAGACAGTTTAAAGAAAATACGTTTAAGGATTCGAGGCGGAAGAAAACAGAGAACGATTATCGTGGTCAAATAAATAAATCTCCAAAAATAATTTAAATTTTGAAAAATCCTCTTGCACACATATTCTTGAATAGTTAAACTTTGAATATATATATATATATATATATATATATATAGCAAGCAAAGATTTTTTTAAATTTCTAGACCAGAATACCGCCTTCTAAAAAAATCGTTTTTTTTATTTCATATTTTCAAAGTTTAACTGTCTAAGAATATGGGTACGAGAAGGTTTTTGAAAATTTGAATTATTTTCGGAGATATAGGCATTTTACTGACTCTCCATACTGGTTTGGCTTCACAAAAAACTTTAAATGCGTTTTTCTCAGAACCCACTTTTTCAGTACTGTTGACACGGTTTCTCGAGTTTTAATCGACCGATTCACTTGAAATGTTCAGAGAGCCTTGTTTATTGACCTATCTTTAGCCCGAACTAGGATTACCTTCAAATACATTTTTTTACTATTTTTAAAAAATTCGAGAAACTCAAAAAAACAGTAAAAAAACACTTTTTTTTCAAACAGTCGCCAATTTGTAAAAAAAATTTTTTTTACTCATAGCTCGTTCGGGCGATTGCGACATCATTGTAGATTAATAATCTTTTTATTTTTTGCATTTTCGATGGCTAGGAAGGCTGAAATCATGTCAAGACTGAGGTGCCAATTTTTTGAGACCACCCACTTTATCAGCTGCCAGTTTTTACAATTTTCAACGTTTTATTTTTTAATTTTTGTTTTGTATTTTAATGATATTAATAAACAAGTGGTAAAAAAGTGTATAGTAAAAACATTCATTGCTTTCTTTTACGACACTTTAAAAATGACCTAAAATACATCGATCTACACTAGAATACCCCCTTAAGGTGGTTTTTATATGACATTAGCAGCGCCACCTTTGATGAGAATCTTATAACTAACTTTTATAAATAAGTTTACTCTTCTATTATCTATGAATAAGTTATTGTAATAACTGAAGCGAATACATTTTCAAAAAGTGACTCACATGTCGTGTCGTGATATTGCCAGTTTGCGGGTCAATGTGAAACTTGAGACGTTCGCCAGGGGCCGCCACAAATGCATACTCAACGGAACCCCCGGCGTCGGGGGGATCCTTGTCCACGGCATGAACGGTCAATACTGGAGTCCCATATTCTTGTTCTTCTTTTACACTCGCGTGATATTGACCGCATCGTGTAAATACCGGTTTTCTATTATCACGAACCACCAGTTTGCTACTATCGCTCTGCAAAATTAAACATTATTAATAATTAGCTTTAAGCTTTAAATCTTGCAAATATTGGATAATAAATATGAATGAAAAAGGTTAATACAAATTAAAGGTTGAGTATATATCATTTTATCTTCATAATCATAGAAACATTAGTTGAGGTTTGCGATTGGCAAGCTTAAAAAATATTTTGACGCCAAACTAATAGTTTGGAAAACAGTATTTTGTACTATGTCAAAGAAAATTGAAGCGACGACATTGTCATCGAATTACTTTAATTATCTATAGTAAGTTATTAAAAAAGGCTATGATATATTATACGTATCCGCATTTTAAAATCATTAAATCAAACTTGTCGGTTATCAAACTTTTGTAATCAGTTCAAAATTATTTTATAAAATGGGCACAAAAAATATAAACTGGAGATAGAACTAAATTTCACAAAATATTTAGAGCATCCTGAAACGCTAAAGTAGAAATATATTCAAAACGTAAGGGCAATAAGAAGCCTACAATATATGGTGACTAAAAAATGACGAGTATTTTTACGGGGCCAGCCTATGCCTATAGTGTGTTAATTGAAATTGATTGAAATATTAGTGTTAAGGCGTAAAATTACACCTTACTGCTGCCTTTGCTGTTATCACTTTATAGAAAAATTAATTACCGCACTTTTAAATATTTGTGTACTCTGTAATTATTAGAAGAATAAAAAGCGACAATAGGCATAAACATAGAAAAATTTTATTAAATGATTGAGTAACTTGTGCGAACTAAATTTCTTAATATGTGTTTAGTCTCGCAACTTACTGAATACTAAATTTATAAACTTAAATATATAATATAAAAATGATTAAAACTGCCTAAGAAGGGGGAGTTCACAAATATACTAATATAACTATAAAATTAGAAAAATTTCTATAATCAGTTCAATACGGATGGTAGAAATAAACCTAGTCCAATTCTTTGGAAAGGTAAATGAATTTATAACCAAGATAAAATTTGATGCAATAATCAGTATCCCTTTATATTGAAAAAGAGATATTAATAATAAAACTAAAAAAATTACTAAAAATCCTTTGCTTCAAATTAATGTATTAGTGATTGAATCAATTTTAAGTGCTGTTTTTCTAACACCTTTTGATGATTTATCAACATTCGGAGTGGATCTGTTTAAAACTGGCTCTGAAATTGTGAATTTTACTTTGCTTAAAAGAACAGCATTAATATTAAACAGACTCTCTGTGGTAATATATGGAATACGTCATTTAATTAAAATATTGGCACGGTGGTCTGCTTCAAAAGAATCTGATAGTGTGGAAAAAGATAGTTTTCAAAGTGTACTAGCAGATCTTATACACGCTATAGAAAAGGTTTTTACTTCACTCATCAAATTAAAACGCAATTTATCAAGGCTTGCTTATTTGATGCACGATTTAATAGTTGAACTTTCTTCTTACACTTTGACAAATGAAATTAAGCAATCCTTACTGAATTGCTGATACCAAATACATAGCCTATGCGACTCTCATGCACTTCAATATTTGAATACTGTATCTAGTGTTGCTAATAGAGAAATATTCAAAAGTATTCATGAAACATATAATAAATTTCATATGTTCAAAGGTAAAATATAATTTGTATATACAATAAAGATAAAGATAACATGACAGATTTGAATTTACTTACAATTAGGCTATTTTAGAAATAATACTTAATATGCACTAATATACGGTGCCTACATAAAGTAAATAATATTGTAATTATATAAATATTTAAAACAAATTCTTAACAACAGTGATAATAAACATATTTCAAAAGAATCCTTAACAATTAGTATGGTTTACCTCGGTTTACAATCCTTCTCCCCTATCAAAATTCTTACTATGCCAATGGTTATGTTTGGGACAAAATCAAAAGCTAGCTACTAACTCCTATTTGAAAAAATGGCTAAATTTTCTACAAATAAGTAATAGCAATACGGTCAACGGATAAATTATATAAATTAGTTTAATCTATATAAAAATAAAAATCAAGTCTTAAAAGATGTGCTATTGTATAATCATGTCTTTTGAACGAATATGTTAAATTCTTGATGCAAATAAACAAATGACAAACTATTCATATCATGCAACTTGACTCTATCCATTGACAGAAAATTCCGTAACTAATTTATATTTAATTATTGATTCAACGTAAGTACTTTTATATCTAAATATATGTTTGCTTCAACTCAGCGCTTTATACATGTAAAATTCTAATCGATCCATTTTATATATAGAGCGTTCTTATCAATTTCATAGAACAAGCCGATCGATTTGAAAGGCAACGAGATGTTGATCGAGGATAAGCTTTGGTGTGACGCCAACAAGAGCCAGACTAAATGTTAAAACTGGAAAAACAATCGAATTGAAAACAAACTATGAAAATATTTTGCCGATTTTTACGGCAGTGTTATTGAAATGAAATTTGAAAAAATATTATGAACAATTTAATGATAAAAACATAGCACTTGATAATTTAAACAATTTTGGTAAAAACATAGCGATTAAATTTGTTATGACGTTTTAAAATTTAAATATTTTTTTTAAACATATTTCATTCCAAACAGTGCATGTTTACAATTGCTACTAATTTATAATGATATATCACGATATCTATCACAATCATCAATGCTTTTATATAAAAAACTGATTGTGAGTATGAATACTATTAAAAATAAAATGAATAAGCATTGAATAATAATAGATTGGAGAACAAGTTGAACGACAATGCTTGAAAAAATAGAGTAGGACGGGGCACAAAGGTCCAATTTGACTTTGAACAATTATATTGTGCAAACTAAGTCAATTATATCACATCAAATAACACTATTATTATAACAAATTATATCAAACGAACAACAATCTGACTATGTTCAGTAAAACTTCCAGCTAAATCATCATAGTCGAATCGTGTTTTTTTGCTGTTTTAGAAATTGTAGCCTGGTACAATGTCTCACTTTAGTTTTAAAGGGATTTTACAAAATAATAGCTACATTTCTCTACTATTGCAAAATATAAAATTCGTGGATCCATTTTTTACATAGATAACACTGTAAATAATCTTTTATTTGATATTTTGTCAGAAATATTCATTAGCAGTCTTGAAACGACTATTTGTTTAATTTATTTCTTATAAAATTGCTTTTAACTTAATTTACTTTTTTATTTGCTATTTTTATTTTCAACACTTTTGCTATGGTAAAGGTTCAGTTGGTCCTTTTCACGCCACCCAGGTGTAGCTTTTATAGATGTTGAAAAATTGTTGAATCTAAATGAGATAATAATTAAATAATGTATACTTAAAAATTATATTATGGTCTCGTAAACTAAACAATAGTGCTCAAAACCAAACCAGAATATTATGACAGCAACGTCTTGATAGCAGGTTATACATCTTTTTACCTCTACTATCAAATATTGTTGTTAAAAAATTCTTAACTTACTGGTTTTTGAAAGATTAGTGGTGGACCTTTTAACCAGCGGACCTTTAAGGCCCGCTCTACCCTACATCTCCGAAGAACTTATTTTCAGATGAACTTCTAAGTAAACATAGCTAGCCCACTTTTTATCTATTCACTCTAAAGAACCATTTTTGTTTAAATTTGTTTAAATTTATTTAAATATATATGTTTATAGATAACAATTCTTACTTCGAAATAGAAAATATGCGCAGGAAAAATAAAATAATTCAAACGCATATCAAACAATATTGACTATCATTTTTCAATATCTAATAATATATACAAGCTTTCCGTCTAATAACGATAAAGCACGATAAGTCAACTAGATATTGTGATACGAATTTGATATAGAAACCCTATAGAAATATGTGATGGACTTTTATTCAATTAGTCACGCATATGATTTGATGTTTGAGAGCACGTCTACTTACTAAATATGGTTTCATGCCTTTTGTACTTTTTTAGATTAGTTAATGCATTAGTCAAAGTCGATCGTAGCTTTAAATATGATCTATTCACGCTTTAAAATTATGACAAGGTAATAAAGATTTAGTTACGTTAAACACTAATAAGGTATTATAGTAAATACTTTCACATTTCAAATTGTTATTATTAAAGAAGACAAATATGTAATTGTACACGAATAGTTGAATAGTTGAAAATGGTATCACTTTAACCACAAATATTTTTGGAAATTAATTCCATGCTATTTTGATATATTTTGAAAATTTGTCCATATAAAATTCATATAATAAACTAATTTCCAAACTTTACTATAAGTAATTTTATTTCTAACACCTACACCCCGTTTTACGCGGTACTCGTTTCACACGTTATCGATCTTATACGGTTTTCGAAAATAATGTTTTTTAAACAAAATTTATTAATTTTGCATTTACACAAAATTATAAATATTAAACTATAATTTGCTTTTTCTGCAATAATATTTTCATTGATTAACTGTCAAAATACAACAAATACATAGTTCTGCAAAATGTATGTTACAGTTACTATTATTATTAGTCTTGGCAAGACTCTGAAATAATATGTATTATTATCGATTACTGCTTGCTTATGAATAAAGAAATAAATAAATAAAGTTTATGTCTATGATGAAAATATGTAGATAAGATGAAAAATCCCTGTTTTATGATCAAAATTAAATTTTATGTGTGTGCATGCTAGTTCGTTTAAAGTACCAAAGCAAAGAGCATAGTTGTTTTTAAACTTTGTTCTTAATTAGTGTTTATATATAATTAATTGCAAAATGAATTCCTAATTCTACTTTTTATCTAAATTCAATATTTAAATTAGTTTTTTTTATATTTTTAACTTCCCGAAGAAGTTTATGTTTTCATCAAAAAATCCGAATTGCTAATTTTATGTTTTCTCGACGTTTCAAGCCATTCTGAATCAAATGAGACCAATTTTGGAAAAAGTATGTGTGTGTATATGTGAACAGATTTTTTGCCGTAAATCAATGTTTTCTCGAAAACGGCTGGACCGATTT